GTCTAATGAAGTCAACGCTCCGTCCCCCTCGTGCTCTAATCCAGAATCCCGAAACCTTTCAGCTCGAGTTACGTAACCGCTTCCAGTGCCTAGAAGATTGCAATGCAGTGGACGATATGAACGACAAGCTCGTGGAAACTGTCCATGCGGTCGGAGCTAAGTTCTGCAAGACCCGCCGCAGAAGAACACAAAAACTCTCCGATCACACTCTTAATCTCATGGCTGTTAGACGGGAGATGAGGCTGCAATCGTCAACAGATTTGACAGCATACAGGCAACTGAACAGACAGATCTCCAAATGCATGCGGCGAGACTTACGCAACTTTAATACTTCTCGTATTAAAGAAGCGATCGAGCGGAACCAGGGCTCCAAAGTCTTTGCCAGAGATCTGTCTGCCAGAAAGAGCCAACTGTCAAAGCTGAAGACTGAGTGTGGCAACATCGTTTCCGGGACACCTGAGATTTTGAGTGAGATTGAGAGGTTCTATGGGCAGCTGTACACATCATCGTTGGAGCCACACGCAAGTGTGAGTAACGATCCAAGAGCAAGTCTTATCCGACACTATTCCGATGATATCCCGGACGTCAGTCTGAGCGAGATTAGAATGGCTCTCCACCACCTTAAAAACGGCAAGGCCCCGGGCGAGGATGGAATTACAGCGGAGCTTCTGAAAGCGGGTGGAAAACCGGTACTTGAAGTCCTTCGGAAGCTCTTCAATTCCGTCCTCCATGGTGGCACTACTCCGGAGGCGTGGAGCAGAAGCGCGGTGGTTTTGTTCTTTAAGAAAGGCGACAACGCTCTCTTGAAGAACTACAGACCGATTTCCCTTCTGAGCCGCGTCTACATGCTATTTTCGAGAGTCATTACGAATCGTCTCGCACGCAGACTCGACGACTTCCAGCCTCCCGAACAAGCCGGTTTCCGAAAAGGCTTCAGTACCATAGACCACATACATACCCTGCGGCAGATTGTACAGAAGACCGAAGAGTACAATCTGCCACTTTGCCTGGCATATGTGGACTATGAGAAAGCCTTTGATTCCGTCGAAATTTGGGCGGTGCTACAGTCCCTTCAGCGGTGCCAAGTTGACTGTCGGTACATCGAAGTGCTGAAGTGTTTGTACAGTAGGGCTACGATGGCTATATAGTCATTATGGCAGAATCGCTGGAGGACTTAAGCATTATGCTCAATGACCTCAATAGTGCCTCCCAACGGATAGGTCTTAAGATGAACATGGACAAAACAAAGATCATGTTTAATGTCCATGTCACACCTATGCCGGTAGTTGTTGGGAGCACTATGCTCGAAGTTGTTGACGAGTACGTTTACCTGGGACAAATAGTCCGACTAGGTAAGTCCAACTTCGACCGAGAGGTCAATCGACGGATTCAACTCGGCTGGGCAGCGTTCGGGAAATTACGACATATCTTTTCGTCAGGTATACCTCAATCTCTAAAAACTAGATTGTACAACCAGTGCGTGTTGCCAGTGATGACTTACGGATCTGAGACGTGGTCCTTCACTGCTGGCCGTATGAGGACGCTTAAGGTCGCTCAGCGAGCTATGGAGAGGGCTATGCTTGGAGTTTCTCTGCGTGATAGACTCAGAAATGAGGATATCCGCAGTAAAACCAGAGTTACCGACATAGCCCAACGGATTAGTAAGCTGAAGTGGCAATGGGCCGGCCATATAGCTCGAAGAACCGATAACCGATGGGGAAGAAAGGTTCTCGAGTGGCAGCCTCGTACCGGTAGGCGTAGTGTAGGACGACCCCCCACTAGATGGAGTGACGACCTGGTAAGACATGCAGGAAGTCGATGGATGCAGGTGGCTCAGGACCGTGCTATGTGGCATTACTTGGGGGAGGCCTATGTTCAGCAGTGGACTTGTGAAGGGCTGTAATGATGATGATGATGATGATGATTAGTTTTTGGATGTACGTCAGTTCAACTGATCAGTTTAACCTAACTCTGTGCTTGGAAAAATCCGTGGATTGCCGTCAGTTAAAACTTTCAACTTAACGAAGTCGAAGTCACACTCACTGGATTTGGATATACGTCAGTTTAACTGAGCGTGTGTGTCGGCCATTAGAGAGTAAGTAGAAAGTGGTTTCTAATCTTTAAATGGTGAGGTGAAGGTGAGATTAGAAATATCAAACACTTAAGTACTTTCAAGAACTTATGACGAAAAACTTTCAAGATTACAATGTTATATCTTTAACATCCAGATTTTATGAATTGGTTGGTAAAAGTAGTAAATGCTTTAATTATCATAATATTTATTACGGTTAGCACGGTGCTGAGACACGCATGGATCAACTTTCTGCATTTCTTACTAGGTCGTCACTCCATTTATTGGAGGCAGTCATAACCATTGCCATCCGTCGGTTACCGGTAGGAGGCTACCACTTGAGAACCTTTCTCCACCATCGCATCGGTTCTCGGTTCTTCGAGCTACATGGCCAGCCCATTGCCACTTCAGTTTACGGATCCGTTGGGGCTATCTGAGTAACTGGTTCTACTGCGGAGAAGTCTATAATGACGCAGAGAAACTCCGAGCATAACTGTCTCCATAGCTCGTTGAGCGACTGAATTTATATTTCATATGTCTAATGGCAACAGACACTAGATTTACACAAAACAAGACTTGTGTATAGAAGATGTTTCGTAATATCTCCAACGCTACCCCGGCGAATTGAATTCGTCGATTGACCTCTCGGTCGAAGTTGGACTTACCTACGGGTACCTCGTAGTTGCAAATCATGCAATATCAACACGCTATTCGCTAGCGCTTTAGGCTTATTCGCTTATTCGGCGAGTAAAGGTCAAGAAGTACTGCCGAGCGCGATTGTGAAAAGGGTTCGCTCGGATCAACTCGCGTCCGTTCGCGACACCTCGTTTGTATCCGCTTTTTGCAAAGTTTAAAGTAGTGAGTGGAGAACGCAAGCACGCTTCACGCTCGTGTGATATGATTGAAATTTTTGTTTTTTATTCTTGTCGGCATTGGCTGACTATGGTTCTTTTTATTGGAGGAGAGGGCAAACGAGCACGTAGCTCACCTAATGGTTAGTGACTACCGCCGCCCATGAACAAATGCAACAAACTAAGGGAATCGCAGGTCCGTTGCAGGCCTTTGAATAAAAAGCCTCTTTTGAATTGCCCTTAGTCGTATCGGACCAGAAAAATCGCTGGTGATAGTCGATTCCACAAGCAAGTAGTGCGAGGAAGGAAAAATATTCTTCTTGTAAATCGCACAGTCGCTATCTTTATGGCGGACCGCCAACCATAGGGATACATACCATACAGATACCACATATATACCACCGGCGCCCGTGGACACGGGGATGGTCGTCGCTGTCTACGCGCAGCCGTAAGATGGACAGGTCCGTACCTTCAAGGCTGCCGAAACGTCGAAAACAGATGTCCTCTCTGACGTACACGCAAACTCCAGCCCGGGGCACAAAAAAGTGTTCTAATTTGTACCCTGGGTATGAGAGATATTAAGTATCAGCCGGAGAAGACATCGTTGTAATATATACTGTTACGAGCTTGAGGTTCGTGACAATAAAAATTGCCGATAGGATTACCTAAATTAACACTTTAATTTTCTTTACACAAATTAAAACTTAAAACACCAATAATTAAGTACACTAATTCACTTTATTCCGCTCCGAAGCTTCGCTTGTCTCGCCAAATTCAATACTTCCCCGATCGCGTATTGCAGCGTCTTTATATAGGGCTCTTCCACGAAAACATCCAGAATATTCCAGAATATTCGAGTAAATACGCGCGCCAACCGACCAAGCGCAGAAAGTTCGAGTTTGGCTTCCAGAAAGCTTAGTTCTTCAATTCGATACTAGATGGCGCTGTCGGTTGAAAGATTAGTGATGTCATTTTCTGGAAAGCTCTCTCTTCGCTCTGTTACCCGACACTAGATGGCGCTAGTGCCAGATGTCAACTTAGCCGCGCAACACTGCCCCCTCCTAAGACATGCTCGTCCCGAGCATTATCGGCCCCATAATAACGCGCCAGGCGATCCACATGGGCGATCTTAGGAGTCTTTCTTGCGCCTTTCTGTAACGGCTCCGCAATGTCAAGTGATGTCTTATCCCATGGTGCACCAACATTGTACAATTTCGATGCTCCTCTACTACGTGTCTGAGGTCCCTTTACGGCCGCACAATTTGTACATGTACGACATCAATCCTCGACATCGTCACGATAATGGACCCAGTAAAACTGTTCTCGGACCTTCAGTAGAGTACGTTTAACTCCCAGATGGACTCTTGAACGCTCATTATGGCACAGCTGTAGAACATTCGGCACTTTAGCCTTAGGGACAACCATTTGCAAACGTCCTCTATTGTCTTCTAGACCATTGTCCCATTTACGGTACAGGACTCCATCCTGAATCAGCATGCTGTCCCACTGGGCCCAATAGCCTCTAGTGGTCGAACTCATCGCTGAGACGTCGCTCCACTTAGGCTTGGTAGCACGGACTTTCTTCCATTCCAGAATCGGCTTGATGTCCGGATCTTCCTGCTGTGCATGTCGTAGGCTGTCCTTCCACTCGTTGCTGAGGTGGTCTGTCCTGAGCATCCTCATGGATACCACTTCCTTACTCTTTTGCCTAGTACAATGTTTCCAATCTTCAGGACAAGGTCTTCTTGACAATGCATCTGCGTTGCCATGAGATTTCCCGCTGCGATATCTGATAGTAAAGTCGTATCCCGGCTGCTGCTGGGCGGTGATGTTAGCCGCACTTCCCTTCTGAGATCGTTCACCTTCCCTTTCTAGGGTTCGCTTAGGGCAGCTGGATTGAAGATGGCCCCTTTCCCCCACAGCCATATCACCTAGGGCTGTATCCCTTATTGTGGTCGCGAACCGTAACTGCTGCAACCTCCCTAGCGCAAGGGGAACGACGATCCTGCCACCGCCAGGCGGTGCCGTTAGCTGCACTACCCTCTCGAGATCGATCAACTCTCCTTTCTACAGTTCGCTTAGGGCAGCTGGAGCGAAGATGGCCCCTTTCCCCACAGCCATAGCACCTAGGACTGCATCCTCTGTTGCGGTCGCGAACTATAGCTGCTGCAACCTCCCTGACGCGATGGGAACGATGATGCTGCCGCACGGCTTCCACCTCCAGTGCATGGGCCAAGGCGTCCTTAAGCGACTCGTGGTGCCCGAGCCTCACAGCAGCTCTGACTTCCAGGTCGCGGATGCCGTCGATGAATGTCTGCAACAGGTTCCCTTCAATGAGCGCAGGTACAGACCGGTATGCTTTCCGCACCAGCTTCTCCACCTCTAGAGCCCACTGCTGCAGGTTTTCGTTGATGCGCTGCACGCGATCTTTAAGCTGCGCATGAAAGACGTGTTCCAGGTGAGCGTCGCCATATCTCGCCTCCAATGCCTCAAGGAGTTGCTCATAAGTCACTTCCTCCCCGAGAGCTTCCAGAACTGTTAAGGCCTGGTCGCGCAGGCCTAGTGTGAGAGCAGTCATGGCCTGACTTTTATTCCAGCCGTTCGCCTTCATAACGGCTTCAAACTGGATTTTGTAAGCTGACCAGGAAGAAGTCCCGTCGAACGGTGGCACTTTGAACCCACGTAGCGAAGGTGTTATAGCTACTACGGGAGCTGTAATTCCATCCCCCAGTTTAAGATCGTCCAGCGTTTTCTTCACGACAGCCATCACGTTGTCAACCCGTTTGTTCACTTGGTAGATTCGGGTTTCAGCTTTCTCGATTCGGGTTTCAGCTTTCGCGATTTGGGTTTCAACTTCTGACAGGCAGTTGTGTGTGTACGCAGCCTTGTGGAACACCAGCGTTAATAGTCTTGTAATTGCAGCATGCATCGTTTACTATAACCTTGATGCTCCGATCGGCAGGAAAACTTGTAGATAATCCAATTGCACAATTTCTCAGAAAGCCCACAGGAAGGAAGCTGCGAAAGAAGCGCTTTGTGCCAAACCCGATCGAAAACCTTTGCAATGACCAGACAGACTACTGGCCTCCACCTTGGACTCTACTGCCTCCGCGCATCTATGATTCAAGTAGACCAGGTGATCACCAGCTGATCGACACCGACGAAAACGACATTGGCGGTCACTAATCAGCTGGTGATTTTCAAGGTACCTACCTCACGAGCTGGCAGTTTACTACAGGTTCCATTATTTTGAAGAACAAGGAGGTGACGACGATATGCCTGTAGTTAGACGGGTCTGATTGGTCACCTTGTTTAGGGATCGGGTTGACTAAAGTTATCTTCCACGAATTCGGGACTACGCTTAGAGAGTAGGAGTAACAAAAAAGACGCGTTAAAACCGGTGCCAACTCCGGAGCACACGTGCTTAGCACAATAGGCCCCCATCAGGCTCAGTCGACTTGTTGAAGTCAAGTTAGAAAGTTTTTAATAAGCATACTATATTACAAACAGTAAACATATTATTTAGACTTGTAATTATATAATGATTTCTTATATTTGCGTGAACACTACACACTTAAATAAAACTATTTTTACGGATTTAATCGCGTATATTAACTATTTTATATTCCAGACGTTTCGAGCACTCTACAGCACCCAAGGTCACGGGGGGCATTGAGGTATTCGACGTCCCAGTGTCATAGTTAACCACGGCTACCTCCAGATTAAGATTATTAATTTGTGTTCCGATCTACGCAGTATGATCATACTGCTGATGGATGATGGATGATCATCCATCTTCTCCACTGAAATAAGGATGTTTTTTAATTTCCTCTCGTATTATCCTTGGTCGGAATCTGTGTTCTTTTACAAGCATCTAACAAATCTGATGTAATGGTGGGGATGATCTTAAACATGTTCACAGACTGCAGACTTTCCGGAACGTCGGTGCTACACAGATAGATATTTAAACGGTGATTCTCATCACCGTCCTTCACAGTTAGCTACCGTGGGTAAATCTTTGTTTTAGAGAGCACGAGGGATCTGTGACAGTGAATACCTTGTCGCCGAGCTCCAACACGTCAAGCAAGTTTTGCATGACAACAAGCTTCGAGTCCCGCGCCTACGTCACAGTTAACGAAGTGCCTGCTATACTGTTATACGTAAGAGGTGTCACTGACAAGATTGGCTACATCTTGAATCCATTAAAACAAACATTAATCCGTTTTACCATCAGTGAAGTGTAATGTGCCTCTTTTTTTACCCATTTTAGACCCATCGGTATACCATATGAGGCTACCGACCTCACAGTTAACCTGGCCATTCGCCCGTCTTCTCTGGAGGGTAATTCCACTATATACTTTTTATCAAAAGTGTATAGTGGACGCATGATATCTGAGATCCGTTCAATTAAGGAATTACCTCAATTACGGACTCAATTAAGGAATCACCGATAAGACCGGTGATTCCTTAATTGAGTCGAGCATGGATCTCAATCTGTAGGAGAGCAAGCTCAGACCACCCTGGGCGTTAATTCTATACAAACTAGCCCTCGCCTCCCTGTCTAGATAGAGATCAAGGGGCGTAAGGCATAGAAGTGCATTAAGAGCCGCTCCAGGCGATGATCGCATAGCTCCAGTTACCATTATGCCTGATGGACTGGAGCAGTCCTTTGTAGACTATTTAGTCTATGCGCAGTCGTCTTTTGGTGGGCCTTGTTACACCAGACAATAGAGGCGTAGGTGAGAATCGGCCTCACTATGCTGCTGTACAGCCATAGGACCGTACTGGGACGCAAGCCCCAGTTGTTCCCGACCAAACGACTCCACGTACCTAAAGCAATTTTTGCCTTATGGCATACGTTGCTAAGGTGAGAGTTCCACGTTAGTTTTTGGTCGATTGTTACGCCCATGTACTTAACTTCCGTGGAAAATGGTACTTCTTTGCCATTAAGTTTTGGTTGGAATAATTTGTCCAACCGTCTCTTTTTGGTAAAGGGTATTATAACAGTTTTATCAGAATTAACTGATAAACTGTTATCCCTACACCAGTTATTTATGGTGTTTAGGGCTCTTTGTATTATTGACGATAAAGTACTTTGGCAAAAGCCCCTTGCAATGATCACAAGGTCATCAGCATAACCCAATGTGTCAATGCGTAGGTCTGCCATATTGTACAATAGTTGGTCAACCGCAAGAGTCCAAATAAGGGGTGACAAAACACCTCTTTGTGAGACCCTGTCAATGACACTGATCAGGGCTGTTTCCGTAGATTTGCCTCTGCGGTAAGCATGCTGGTTGTAATGTATGGGCCTCGTAGCTAGAGCTACATCACTTATATATCTATCTATAACCTTTTCCAATGTCTTAAGAACAAAGGAAGATAGGCTTATAGGTCTAAAGGACTTTGGTAAAGCGTAGTCCTTTGTACCAGCCTTAAGTATAAATAGAACCTTGACAATTTTCCATCGTTCTGGAATATATATCCCCATGCAAAACTTGCTCTGAAGATTTTCACCAGATAAGGAAGAAGGATGTCGATACCCCTCTCTAGTTGGATGGGAATTATTCCATCCTCCCCGCTTGATTTAAATGGTTCAAAGAAGTCAACAGCCCACTGCACCAGGTTTGGCCTTATTATCTTTGCAGCCCTACACCAGTCCTCATTGCAAGGCCTTCGTAGGGCTCTGAAAGAGTTCAAGGCTGAAGTCTTGTATGACCCTGGGAAATGGGTTGACGCTAGTAACTTCAATGTTTCTGTTTCACTATTAGTGAGGTTACCATCCAGCTTTTTAAGAAGCCCGATCTGATTAGGTTTAGCTTTCGATAGCATCTTGTGTAGTCTTGCACTGCGAGGCAAAGACTCAACTTCCTCGCATAGCTTCCTCCACGATGCTCTCTTGGCTTTCCTAATTTCTTTATTATATTCAGTTAGGGCTGCACTATAAATATCCCACTCTTTGGTTTTCTTAGTCCTATTAAATAGTTTCCTGGTCTTTTCCCTAAGGTCTTTCAGCTTAGAATTCCACCAAGAAACTTTTCGTGTTGAGGTCTTGGTTTTGACGGGACAACTGTCCTCGAAGGCTTCACGAATACCTACGGTTACTGTCGCCGTCGCTAACTCCAGACCTTCAATTGTTTTGATGCTTTTAGGAAACGTTTCCAAATTCCTCCTTAGGCTATCTCTATAGCCCCAGGAGGTCGCTTTCGGATCCCTAAAAGTAACGGTTTCAAAGGATGGTGATGCTCCAATCACAAACTTAATGTGCTTGTGATCAGACATCGAGTTTTCACTACTAACATGCCAGTCATTTATCCGCCTGGACATGTTATTGTTAGCAAAGGTTATGTCTAACACTTCTTGCCTAGCACGCGTTACAAAGGTTGGTGTACAACCTAAGTTTAGGCTTACTAGGCGGTTGGAGATGAGAAAATCATAAAGTAACTCACCTCTTTCGTTGATGTTGGTGCTTCCCTAGGCTGTGTGGTGAGCATTAGCATCACAACCCACCACAAGTTCGGCGTTGTGTTTTCGGGCGAACTCCGCCACTCGCTCTAACTCGATGGTAGGATCTGCGTTCTCGCCGGGAAGATAGGCTGAGCAAATGATTACTCTGGCATCTGCCTCATCTGTGCATCCCTTGAGATTTATGAAGGCTGTAACCAGGTCATCATTGCAGTACTCTGGAACAGCTAAAAGTTCAATATTTTTGTTATAAATTATACAAGCTCTGGGTCTACTGCCTTTTGTATTGACAAGAATCTTACCGGCAGCCGCCAATCCCAGAACTTGACCGTTGGCCACCCAATGCTCTTGTATAAGGGCGAGGTCAATTTTGTCCTCTGCAAAGCAAACCTCCACCACGGCAGAAGTAGCTGCTGCATGGTGAAGATTTGCTTGGAGGACCCTCGTCTTACCCTTGGGTTTAGTCAATTATGGGCGTGGGGGGGCAGGGGTCTTTTCCGCCTGTTGAGGACGAGGACCTCCTTTTCCTGCGAACTTGCCCGCCTTACCTTTCTTCGAACCGCTCCCACCTCCCCTCCCCCCGGCCTGGACGACACCAGCGGAGACCGTCGGACCGAGCCGAAATCTGCGCCTTGGGTCTTCGTCACTCTCACAGGTGGCGTTCCAGCCTCACCCCGAGAGGGCTGAGGGGATTGGGGTTGGGGTTAGGGCGGTTCGGGCTCCATTGCCGCGTCAGAGCCTCCCGTGACTTTAAAAGTTATCATCTTAAAGCCAAGGATGACTCTGCCGCCTGCCTTCCGAAGAGCCTCCGCCGATGGGTCGTCCAGAGAAAAGGTTACTAAGAACCCATTCTCCTCGTCCCTGCGGTGGAGGATTCTCCAGAGCTCAGTATGGAGCCCTTCATTTTGTGCCCTCAACAGCACAGCCGCCTCCTCTGGAGAGTCGGCTTCGCTGCGGGGCAAGTAGGTTATGCCCAGCGTAGGCTTAGGCAGTTCGCCCTCGGGTATTACCGAGAACTCTGCCTCAGAGCTCTGGCCAGGGCTTTAGTTTTCCGATTTCACCCACAATCCAGTCCTGGCTTGCCTTATTCAGGCAAGTTACCAGAATCCAACCTGGCTTGTGTGTGAAACCGGAAAATTTTGGGCCCATTCCCGGTTGCGACCCACAGGCCGTCTTAGAGATGGCCTGTGTTAGTGCCCGGTGGACCAGCCGCATCTGCTCCACACTCATAGGATTCGAATTGCGAATTCCTATACGCGCGGAGCCAGCTACGGCACTGAAGCTGAGCTTCTTCTCCTCCGTTGCCAGCTTCACAGTCTTCCTGGGCTGGTCTTTGGGGGACTCTTCATCAGACCGACTGCGTTTTTTCGCCTTCGGAACTGGGGGAGGCTTGGGCAGAAGAATTTCGTCCCAAGGCTTCTGGCAGAGAGAGAGGACCTCTTCGGCTCCAATCTCAGCTGCTATCAG